ACAATTTTCCCTGACACAGACCCGGTGACTCTTTGGCTGGTACAGAGTTCCATGAGTCGTTTAAGTCTCATCAATTTTTTGGTGAAAACTAAATCAGCGATGATGTACATGGAACATAATAACCTTACATATCCAAGTGCGGCAGTACATGCCATAACTGTGATTTATGTAGGGCTTGTTCATACTCTTATAACTGACAGGAAAATCACCAAGATAATTTTTGACAACATCCGGAATGCTATGGTGAGTATAAGTACAATTAAGGATCTAGTGCATACACGCACTCGCGCGCAACCAGAATGTGCTGCACTACTTAGTCCTGCTATATTTCTGGATGGAAGTCCCGGTTTCATCTACCGGTAGTCCCGCTATATTTCTGATCACTCTATCATCAGAATTATTGGATGGAAGTCCCGGTTTCATCTACCGGTAGTCCCGCTATCTTTCTGATCACTCTATCATCAGAATTATTGGATCCTAGATCCAAAACCCAGTATTTGATAATCCTGGGTTTTGGGTTTAGGATTGGCTTTTCTGATAATCTGGACCCTGGATGCTATAGCCCCCCAACTTTATGCTTCTCAGCCTGCGTAGGAGTAAAAAGTGACATCTTATACGACTAGATTATCTAGAGGTTGGTGGTTTTGTACTGGGAAAAACTTATCCCATAGCGGGCATAGGATGAAAAACCTGCCACCATTATCCATTCTAACAAATTACTTATTAAATTAATTTATCTAGATCCAAAACTCAGTATTTGATAATCCTGGGTTTTGGGTTTAGGATTGGCTTTTCTGATAATCTGGACCCTGGATGCTATAGCCCCCCAACTTTATGCTTCTCAGCCTGCGTAGGAGTAAAAAGTGACATTTTATACGACTAGATTATCTAGAGGTTGGTGGTTTTGTACTGGGAAAAACTTAACCCTAGGGGGCATAGGATGAAAAACCTGCCACCATTATCCATTCTAACATATTACATATTAAATTAATTTATACTAAATAACATGAGTTCTCTACCACGCTCATCGGAGTCAGTATTGACCTGTGATCTCGGTTGATCTCAACCGACTCTTTGGTCCTTATCCCTCTGGTGTGTGGGCAGAGCATTCTTCAAGGTGAGAAAGGTGGGAGTGTCCCTTGGTGTCAGTGAAACTTGGCTAAGTTCCCCGCCTCGTGCGCTGCCTGTTGCTCGCTGATCTTTCATCGGTGCAGGTTGCTGTTGACTTCTTCGGCCTGAATTGCCTTTGCGTGCGTCGTTTGCGCTGTCGGTATATCGTAAAAATATCAGGATCTGCGATGTCTGATTCATGTGTCCAGGTGCGCTCTCCATCTGTCCATTGCAGTAGATAGTCCTGGGTTCCTCCACCTCTTGTGGATTCTCTGTGGTCCAGTATCGAGGAGAATTGAGTCTCTTCTGATGGTTGGACTGGGTTGTTGGTAGTGAAACCTTCTGATTCACTAGCCTTCTTGACGAAACCAATTAGCTCATCATTGACCGCGTTAGGAAATTCGGGGGCTCGAGTGCCATCAAATTTACGGACGAAATATCCGTTGCCCTCTTTGCTTGCTATCTTGTATGGTCCTCCATATGGTGCTGTCATTTTATTCATTTCACCTAGGTAACGAATCATCACAATGTCCCCTTCTTGGAAGTGTATATACTTCTCCTGATATTTGCGATCAAATGCTGCGCGCATTTTTTTCTTGATATTGTGCCACATTGGCATCTAGTTGTGGTCGTATTGACTCCTCTAGATTGTGTAGTCGTGTTTCCAATGTTATATTTGTACCAGGTGCACTGACTGTTGTGTCATAATTGGTAAGCTGGTTTTGTCCTCGTCCGTAGTACACATTGAACCTTGGTGATTTGTGTCTGCGTGATGAACGTAGGTTGTGGCCCATTTGTGCAAATGGGAGGCGTGAACACCAGTTGCCTGGATTTAGTTCAACAAATTTCCGTTGTAAGGGGATGAGATCTCTGTGCGAGCGCTCATTTGCTCCCATTATCTTGGGTTGATACGGTCTGGACACTAAGTGTTGTGACGGTGCTTGCTCAATGATTTTTGAGATTATGTCATTCACATATTATGTGTCCTGATCAGTCTGTATGATTTGTGGAAATCAATGTTCGCACAGGATTGGAACTAGTGTTCTTGCAATAGTGGCTGCCGATTTGTCCATCATCGGTCTAAGTATAGCGTATGATGAATATACATCTAGCCAAACTAGAACGTATGTGTTGCCCCTATTCGAGTCTATCAAGGGACCTATGGTATCCACTTGTATCCTGTCACTCGGAAATGCAGCGGTTATTGATTGTAAAGGGTGGAATCCCTTGTGGATTTTGTTTTTGAGACATGGTACACTGCCCTCAATGTATTGGTTGACATGTTCCTTTTGTCTAGACCATGTGTGGCCATCTAGGATGAGTTTGTTCACTGTTACTTCGACAGTGTAGTGACCAATTGTGTGGTATTGAGCTATTAGTGTGGCTCTGTCTTCATACGTGATTGTGTCTGCAGGCTCATCTGCGATGTGTATGGGTGCAATGTTCACTGCAGGGTGCTTTAATTTTTGGTCAAAGTAAGGTGACTTTGTGCCTATCTTGGCTACTAATGTGACCCCCCATGGTATTTAGCCACAGGCTATTGTGCCGTTCTTTAGGAACTTGTTGTTTGTGTTTTCGACTATCATTGGATTTTGTTCTAGTAATGACAAGAATTTGGGAAACCACGTTGCGTTTGGGTAGTACGGGACACATATCATGATGCTGTGGCTTCCTCTATGACCTTGTCAAACACGTCGGGTAATAGTTCCCAGGGAGGATTCGCCCATGCGTCTATTTCATCTGCCCACTTTTGTAGAAGCGCGTTTTGTTCTTTGGCGTAGAACTTTGCGGTTTGGGCATTGTGTGCAGCTGCAAATAAATCGATGGTGAATTTACCAAACAGCCCTTCTGCATTTTGAAAGAATCGGGGATGTAATTTCCAGTCCATGGCAGATACTAAGATGGACATGTTTGTTTTTAGGTCAGTGCAATCTTGACCATTGTGTATGTGCTCGTAGGCTTCTTTCAACACATTCGATGTTTTGATGTTGAATTTGTCTTCGTGTAGTCTTGACAATCTGTCAGCAACTTCATTATCTTTGCCTGGCACGTGTATGATCGTGAAGTGGTGATGCAATGTTTTTGCTATCCACTTCGCGAGCATGGGATGCAGCGTTTGCTGCTTGTTCATCTGGCATAACGCTTTGTGATCTGTTCACAATGTTATATCGCCGCCTTTGATATATTCTGAAAAATGTTCCAGACTGTATACGAGTGTAATAACTCTTTATTATTTGTCCCATATCTTTGTTGTGCAGGATTGAGACCTTTTGAGAAATAGAGTATATCTCTTCTGACTCCATCTACGATCTGGAACAGACAACCTCCTATGCCATAGTCGCTTGCATCGTTCATGATCTGAAACGGTACCCCATCTACTGGGTACTCCAGAGTTGCTGAGCATGCAATGGCATCTTTGAGTTCTTCCCATTTCTTAATGAGCTCTGGTGTCCATAGTTTGGCTATATTTTGATTCAATTTTGCCCTTCATGAGATTGCGGAAGTGTTTCGTTATGTGTGCAAACTGCGGTATGTGGTCTCGCATGTAATTTGCTAGGCCGACTGCTCAATGTAAGTCACGTTTGGTTCTTGGTAAAGGCCAATCAATCACGCGTTTCTGTTTCTCCGGGTCTGTTTTGAGCCCTTTGATAGTTACTTTGACGCCTAATATATTGACGGTCTTGACTGCAAACGCGCACTTGTTGTGATTTAGCCTGAAGTTGGCCGCATTATGTCTTTTGACGACTTTACGTACTGTTTGTCTGTGTTCATCTTCTGTCATACTAGCGATGACTATGTCATCTGCATATACTTGTACTCCTTTAATGTCAATGAGGAGGTTGGCCATCTCTATTTGGAATTGTGCTGTTAGCGAGTGCAGTCCAAATGGAACTGACTTGAATGAGTATTGTGCCCCTCTCCATGAAAATGTGAAGAAGTGTTGGCTATTCTCATGTACTTTAAAGTGATGGACTCCTCCTGCTAAGTCTAATTTGGAGAAGAAGTGCGCACCTTGTAGATTCTTTGGTAAGACGAATTTGTCTTGTTCATGTTGATAGTTTACTTCTCGTGAGTCGAAACATGTGCGGACCTTTTTTAACAGACCTGTCTGTTCTAATTCTCCTGTGGATAATAGTGGCAGGTTCACCTGTGTGGACGTTGTCCTTATGTATATGTGTCCATCTTTGACCCATTTCTGAACATTTTCATCTGTTTGTGGTATGTACTTGTGTGGAACAAAGTTCACTTTAGCGTGACGAATGTTCTTCGCTTTAACCTCTCGACTTGGGATTTCTACCACTGAGCCTAGTAAATTGCAGTGTACATCTGGTGGGATTTGACCATTTTGTTCCAACAAGTCTGAGAGTGATTCTCTGAATCCTTCTTGTTCATGTTCAGGGTCTTCTTCATGTGGTGTATGAAGTGATTCCCACTTGGCATCTGTTGGTAATAATGGGTTGATTATGCCTGCTAAGTATATGCACAAGTATGGTAGAATGTCCATTCCTAATATGATTGGTGATTTCTTGTCTGGGAGGTCAAGTATCTCGAAGCAGTTTGAGGTTTTTCTGCCTCCGTAATTTATATCACATACTTCTGTGGAGCCTGTACGTTGTACTCTTGCATCTGATTGTGCAAGTTGCATGTATCCAGATTGCTGCACTTCGGTCCATGCAAGAGCGTTGTGCCCCTGAATATACTAATCCCGTTTTGTATGTGATGCCATTGATTTGTATGTTTATGTGCAATCGTTGGTCGCGTGGATTCGGAAGTAAAGAAATGGGTGTGTAATCAATATCATTCGCATTTATTGACAACGTTTCTTCATCAGTGTGTGCATTCACAATGTCTACCATGTTTATCATGTTAGCTTCCGACCACCAAGCTTTTCAAAGCTCTTCATCCATCTCTATCTCTTTCACCTTGTTGCCATTGGTAATGGCCAACTGGTCAACATGGACAGTTTGATTCTGTTGCGCTGCTCGAGCTTCTGCCTTTAGACGATTGCTGTTCACCTTGTTGGGGCACTTGCTGAACGCATGTGGTGAGGGGTTGGCACCACAGTGTGGGCACGGTCGTGGACCTCGTGGTGCTGGTGTATCCGTGGCCTGTCCTATGGGACGGCCTCTGACTTGCTCTCCTGGTGGACCTCCACCTCTCGGTGCGCCTCCACAGCTTGTTGCTCCTCCCCCTCTGGGAGGGCCCCCCTGAAGTATTTCCAGTCTTGGGCGAGTGACGAGTGGTTCATACGCTAGTGCATTCTTCGCTCGCTTGGCTTCACGTTTGCGATTAGCTTGTGTTATTGTTGATTGTCTGATCATGTCTTCGGTGAGTTCATGAAATACCTTCTCTGAGATGTCAGATAAGTGCCTACTACTCCCGTCTGGTTTTGTTTGAGCCTTGATTATCTTGTCTGTTTCCGCTTGCAAACCAGACATGACCAGTACCTGGTAACGTGATGCTTTGAGGAGTAGCCAATTGATAGCCTCTCGCTCTGTGCCCTTGTAACGTTTCTCTAACTCAAACATTGTGTGACGTAGCCGTGCTGCTCGTACTTCGACATTCATACGAGTGTCATAGAAGTCGTTGAGCCACTTCTCCAGTAGGTAGTCTATTGGAGTGCGACGTAGGTTGTCAATGACTAATATGTTGTAGTCCTTCACATCAGTGAAGTCTTGCCAAAGCTGCTTGGTACTACGTATATTGTTGAGTGCAGTGCGCGATACTTCAGTGGCATCTGTCTGTCTGAGTAGTTCTTGTACTAGTGAGAGGTACTGTATCAACGGCATGTTTGTGCCCGCAAACAAGTCTTTGGCTACAGATACAAACTCAATTGTATCACGACAATCGGCCATGCTGATCTGTTTGCCTATTGGCCACATAGGGAACTCACTCATCTTGAGTAGTTTGTTCAGTTCTGGTTCTGAAGCTTTGTCCCCTTCGTGAGATCTCATTAGAGTTAACTCGCTCATAAAGTCACTGATCGCAATGCACTCATCGTGATCACTTTTGTCACAGTTCTTCATCTCTTTATTGTATAGCTATACTAACCACTAATATATTACTGGTACTAAACGTTTGGGTTGTTGTTCATGGACTGCTTTGCGCAGTTTGTGAAACGCTCTGATGTCAATGGGGTCGTCCGCTGTTTGTGCGTACAACTTGTCTACTAATATGCCTGCTATGTAGTAGTTACTGTCATAGATAGTCTTATCTAAGACTATGTGACACTTACTCATCGCTGGATCCATTGGAGCTCTTGCTGGTGTGGACTCATCTTCCATCTGCATAGCTCTCTCCACATTGTGTGGGGTAGATGTGCGTGACGATGTTTGCGAGACCGGCATTGTGCTTGTTGCTACTGGTCTTGTGTTGGCAGTGCGACTTGTGCTCCCTCTTGTGTGTGTACGGCTTGAGCTTACTTGTATGCGTAGGCTCCTTCGCGCTGCGCGTGTTCGTTGGTATGGTGCAGACGTCATTGACTGTTCTATATGTGGCTGTGCTGATTGCAGGGCCTTGTGTTGGTGTGGCTTGAATTGCTCATGTTCGAATTACCTGGGTTTATTTGGAGAGTTTTTGGTTTGAGACGATAAACCTGGGTTTATGATGGGTTATCGGTTGTAAACCTGGTTTCTCTTGTAACTTGGTTTCTGGAATTTTAAACCTGTAATTCAGTTTTATAAGTTTTTGTTATATTTTCTGTTTTATTTGAGTCTCGGTGATTTATGACTTTGAATTTTTCAGAAGAAATATGATTTTATTTGCCTTCTATGCTCGTATACAATTTCAGTCTAAGTGTACCTTTGTGATACCCTTTTGTATACGTGTAGTATTCCTTGTACCCCCTTTTCTTTGTATATCTGATGTTTATTGGTTTCTTATGAGTTGCTGGGTGTACTGCTATGCTTGTGCATGCTTGTGTAGGCCCACTTGCGATTGTGTGTACACGTTTATGATTCTTGGTTATGTGAATTGCCATCAATTGTTGGTGGATATATTTGTTCTCGCCTGTGTTGTTCGTGCGGGCATATGTGCCGTGTATTCGGATCACTTCTCACGTGTTGAGTTTGTATTATGCTTGTCCTTAATTCGGTGTACGATGGTTTCTTTTTAATACATGTCTAGGTCGTGGACCATGTGAATGTTTTAGTGATGTGCTTGTGAATTGCTTCAATGGTGTGTTTGTTAAGAGCTTCTTGTATCGGGCAGTGTTTCTGCGACTAATATTGTTTTAGCTATCTTGTCCTTATTGAATTGGTTGTCCACTTTTAGTGGTAACGGGTGTAATTCCTTGTGATTTCCCTTGTATTCAAATGGTAGATGTATAGAAGTGATTTCACTTAGCGTCGGTGTTTCGAATCTGTCTCTGTAGTTGAGATTTGTTTGTTATCTCATAGGTGGTGTGCTTATGGACTGTTACTGTTTAGGTGGTGCTCCTAGGTGTGTTGTGATTTTGTAATCTTCCTCGTCGATTTCGATTCAGATTAGGCTTCTGTGGTGTGCGAATCTGACTGTATTCCCTGTGAATGTGTTAGACATTCTTGTTCTTTTCTGTATCGCCTTTACACCGTTGTCTATTAGTTTCAATAAGCTCCGTTCTGATGTGTAATGCTTGTCTTATCTCTATGGTGTTGGAATGAGATCAGCTATTTAGGATTGAGTTGCGCACGCGTATGCTTCCCCTGCTCTGGGTTGTATTATCCTTTATCTAGCCAGTGTTTGTTACATATGTGCTTACCACTTCTTAATATTTTCAGGCCTCCTTGTACTTACTTGGCTATAACTATTAACCCTCTATTTGATTGTGATCACTTGTGTAGATCACTTGTGTAGATCTGATTTGTTCGTGCTCTAATCTTATTGTTGTGGAGTTCTTAACTGTTACGTTACAACGTGGTTTTAGTTATTATTCTACCCCGTTTGTCCTGCATAATATTACTTGTGCGATTCAAGTTGATATTCTGTTTGCGGGTGATTTGATATCATTTATTTGAGTGATTTGGTCGGTGTATATGAATATGAAGTTATTGCTCGTGTCTGTATACACAACACCACTCTGTTGATTCTTTAAGCATGTGAATATTGTTACTCTTGGTGTTTTCAATTAGACTTTCCTTTTCTGTGTTCAGTGCCTTGTGCTCTTGTGTGCAGTGTGCTTATTCTTCACGTGTATTGTACAAGTTCTTATTGGTGATGTTCAGGCGTTTATTTTTTGTGTGTTGGGGTGAGGTTCTTTAGCCTTGTGTGATTTCACTGATTTAGATTTTTACCTTATCTTTGAACCCAATGTTGGTGGTCAATATTTGTGGAACGTGTGTACGTGCGCGTCTTGTGTGCTATTTTCTAGACCCCCTTTTTGTACTGTCCTTCTTGTATGACACACTATCTTTTCTTTTCCCAACATTGATAAATAAATCACCTTGACACTTTTCTATTTTGTTTTAGAACTTCTGTTCACCTAATATGAATATAAGACACGTTATGTCTTCATACAGTCACATTGGTTGAAGGTCTTCACTTGCTCTGTTACAAGGGGAAACTGAGTCTTCTATTCTCCTCGAACTAACTGGTCCTGCCGGTTCTCCATCTTCTCTTGTCTGAAGTTCCTTCTCAGCAGTGGGGAGCCTTCCGTCTTTCTTTCTTGGGCCCCTCATAGTTCTTCTGCCCACTTTGGCAATTCTCTTTCTCAATGCCTTATGGTCAATTATTCTTCCTTAGCTGATAGACTTACCGTGGTAAGGATATTGTTAAAAATGTAGAGTTTGAGAGTGGCTGATAAGATACGACCAGAAGAAACAATAGACCTCTTCTCAAGTGCGAATCCTACAGCTAGGTAGAGTCCTCGGCTGCAGGACTCGCATTGAGTCTTTATTTGTGTATAGTATTTTCTACACTAGATTCAATATTTACTCAAGTGTTTCTCTCACATGCGGGAGTCCCGGTATCATCTACCGGTAGTCCCGCTATATTTCTGATCACTCTATAATCATAATTATTGGATTCTAGATCCAAAACTCAGTATTTGATAATCCTGGGTTTTGGGTTTAGGATTGGCTTTTCTGATAATCTGGCCCCTGGATGCTACATCTGGTGTATCTTGCACCGACATTTTACCTGGCAAACTGGTAGTCCCAGAAAATGAAATTCGGGGGCTTTTCTTCGTCGGATTTTGTTTCGGGACTGAGACTCAATCAGAGGAGTTTGTAAAGTTTTTAGATTTCCGTCTTCAGTCTCTTGTCCATACTCTCATAACTGACAGGAAAATCACCAAGATAGTTTTTGACAACATCCTGAATGCTAAGGTGAGTGTAAGTACAATTAAGGATTTAGTGCATACACGCACTCGTGCGCAACCAGAATGTGCTGCACAATTTTCTATATGTGAGCGGGATAGAGAGGGCCGCGATCCACTTATGCATCTTTCTTTCCATAGTCCTTCGGTGACGGAATTGTGTGCCAGGCACATTGGTGGGGTCTGGTGCATTTTGCACCGATATTTCACCTGGCAAACTGGGAGTCCCAGAAAATGAAATTCGGGGGTTTTTCTTCTTCGGATTTTGTTTCGGGACTGAGACTCGATCAGAGGAGTTTGGAAAGTTTTTAGAGTTCCTTCTTCAGTCTACACTGGTGACTAAAATATGAGGAAGTTACTATTAAATCCTTTAAGGGCTTTACGGTATTATATATGTGTTTATATGTACGTGCTTTCTACTTCTTTCTATTGTAATATTCATATGATCCTGTTATATAAGGATTTGATAATCGTAAATTGAGGCATAAATAAATGACTTTTTAGACTAAAAAAAAGAGTCACCCGTGTCAGGGAGAATTACAATTTATCAAAATGATGATCGACTGACAATTTCCAGAAGGCCGTGATATATGCACGTTTTATCACTTTAAGGGCAACTTTGAAATAAATACGTTCATATACTAAAATAAACATAATCACGGCTGGGACGCCGTTGGATGTGAAAGTGATAGCTTAGGGGGGCTCAAAGGGGGTTCTACAGTAGTGCATACAGATAAGAGAAAAACATCACGGCATAGTACGAATCAAGTTTACGGTTTCAGTGATAAGTGGAATAATGTGTACTGAATATCAATGAAGGTTCATATGTGAGCACATTTAGATCGTCAAAATGAATGTACTGAATATGAAAGGAGAAACAACCGCCATATATACGCTTCGTCACTTTGAGGGAAAATGTGAAAGATGTTCATATACTGAAACAAACGTACTTATAAATCTATAGTGAAGCACGGCTGTGCCGCCGTTTGAATTGGAAACGGAATTCTTGGGGGACTTCAAGGGTGCCTACAAATAAAGGAAGAGTACGTCACAGCAAAAGCAAAGATATATTACAATATTGAGCCTGAAGTTCACGTACTTAAATATCCAAGTGAAGAGAGAGCGATTGCTTTTTGTCCGTGAACATTTGAACTTAAGTAACGCCGTTTGATATTTCTGTACTGAAAGTTGCTACAAACTCAACAATATAATTAACATTTTCCTCTAAATCTTTATACTAAATTACACTACGGAGTTGGCGATGCCAAATACCACAAAAGCTACTATATCCAGTGATCCCGGGATTCATATAGCAATAAAAAAAAATGACAATAATAAAGCTGACCATTCGCGCATCACAACTTATATATTTCTAGAAATAATGCCCGATTATCCTATAAAGACACGTGCTTTCAACGACCTGGATGATGGCGAAGCTGAGGTTGCCGAGACTACTGACAAACACTGAGTCAGATTTAAGTGGAGAACCAGGCTCGCATTCAGTAGAACATCAATGTTTTCCTCTGAAAGACTACATGAGCTGAGCGAATCAACACATGGGTCCCAACAGGAACACTATCGGCACTATCGTGGACATGGAATAATGGCGTGTACAAATTGGTGAGTTATTCAATTGCAACGATCGATTTTTCGAGTAAACGGATATTATGGCGTAGAATA